TATGATATTTATAGATAGTAAAAATAGACAAAAACCACCAACTTATTTGGAGATTAAGAAAAGATTATTAGAAAATAGAAAGGAGGAGAAGAAATTAGCTGGGGACCGAGGTACACTCACATATCATTTTAGAAAGTGGGACAATTTAGAATAGCTTCGTGCAGAATAGATAAAATAAGGAAAGCGAATAGAAGCAATGGAATGGACATGGCTGATATAATGGTCGAGATTCCCACGAAATGTAGGCATGTTTTAAGTGGGTGTCTGTGCACGTGTGTGTATGTGTGTATGTAAGTATTTTTCATTTTTTCATTTTTTTTCTTCTCTTAAATGTCTTTTTATGTTCATGCCTTTTTCATGCATGCATGTTTCATCCTTTATTTGATGTAAATAGCAAAAGTTAATTTGTATTATTTAGATGTGAATGTAAAATCATATTCTATATAATAATTTTAACATGCAGATTTTTTTATGTATTGATTTTGTTATTGTTTGTGAAAAGCAATGGAGAAAATGAAATATTATTGGGGAAAGGAAGAAAAGGAAAAAAACTTGTCAAATGCGGTCTAGCGCCATCTTTTGTTTAAAACATTATAGGAGTGTCTTGAACATTGGTGTAAGTATCGATGTAAATAGTAAAAGTTCTTTTGTATTATTTAGCTGTGAATGTAAAATCATATTCTATGGAATAATATGAACATGCAGATTATTTTATGTATTGATTTTGTTATTGTTTGTTATTATAAATTTTGTTCTTGTTTGTGAAAAGCAGAAAATAAAATATCATTGAAAACAAAAAAAAGTATCTACATGCAGAAGCATGGACAACTTTGGTACAATAGAGAAAAATATGAGTAAATAAGAAAAAACAAAAACAATGTGGTATATAGATAGGGTGTTAATATATTTTAGGATATTTTTTAAGTAGCCATTTACAATAAAATCTTGTCTGTATTTTTCTTGTTATATTTTAATTATATGTATTTCCAGTTTTTATTTTGGCGGCCAATGAATTAATTTAAAGTTGCCTTGAAATGACGCTCTGAAAAATATGGCAGGTTTTGGGTCGTGACTAAGCGTTGAAGTCAACCGACCGTCGATTTGTCATTGATCTTTTTATTTGTAGTTGCATGAACCCCCCCCCCCCCCCCCTGTGAGTCTATATGATCGATTTAGGACCTCTTTGTTTCTGTCTTTTTTATTCTTAATCGTTATTCATTCAAATATGTGTCGATTAATGCCAAACTAGACCTTCAAGAAATAAGAATCTACAAACTTCATTATTCCTTGGAGAAAAAAGTATCTACAAATTTCATTATTCCATTCCTGACAGCTCATACCGCGTATATGAAGTAAAGCTTTTAAAACACTCATTACAGTAAAGGGTATAACGCTATTCATCGTTGACAAGATGACTTCATGATATGGTTCACACAGGTAATATTTTATTGTGTACACAAATTATGGAGGTTTATATTGTATACTGTTGTTCTATAGTTACATGCAGACGCATAGATCAATTGTGTACAATCGACACAAAATATACCTTTCCCTTATTTGTTGTATGTGTATATGATAATAAAGAATTTAACCCAAATTAATATTGTGTATGATTTCTAGAATAATTTAGAATGGCTTAGCTGAACAATTTGCTATTCGTTTAAGTTTAATCAGAATTTATAAGGGGGAAGATAAACACAGGTTATCCAATATTCACCATCTGGCTGGTCAAAAACATACCCAATAGCGTATAAAGGTGTGTGTGTGGGGGGGGGGGGGAGGAATGGTGCAGGTGGGGCACATGCCTTGAGCGGCACTTGTAGGTGTGCACAACAAGGGGGAGGGAGTAGTAAGAATAAGATGAGCCCCACACACCAGCGTGTTAATTGCCTCAGGACCAATTTATATACATAACATTTTAGAGTGTGTCACCATTAAAAATAAGAGAATGAACATTTAGTTATCGTTGCTTTATTCCCTGTAAGTTTACTCAGTCTCCAGGGGAATGTTGCACCCCTAGTATAGGAGGAAAATATATTTTGAAAGGTTCATCGTTAACAAACAAATTAAAAATTCGTCTGTCGCTCTAAATTCCCCGCCTTTTTGTGTGAAGAAGAAAACCGCAATTCACTTTTAACATTCGAAACTTTACACCTTCGATCCTTGTAAAATATGCGTAACAGTGACGTTTTTGGGGGATGAATTTTTTTTAGTTATGTATAGGTCGGTCATCTTGCTTCCTCGAGTTTAAAGAAGCGTAGATAAGATACAGTAAGAAGGGGGGGGGTGCCACAGTCATTTATATGCCACTGTCGGTCAATTGTCATTTTTGGTGACTTTCGAGATCCTAACCTATTCTTATCTATAAATTGTAGGTGTCAAAAGCCATTTTTGGTGACTTTCGAGATCCTAACCTATTCTTATCTAGAAATTAGGTGTCAAAATCCGTCCATCAATTGTTTCTTACTTAAATTGTTGGACATCAAATATGACACTAACTGTCTTTTTTCACCCAAAAGTTACCAATACATATAGAGCTTCGAAAATAAGGTCAATAAATAAAACTGCCATATCTTCCCCGTAAAAAGAAAGACTGAGTGTAATCTAAATGAAAACTTAATAGATTGTCACATGAATCACCCTAATAGTCAATTTGGGTCAAGGTTGACAAAATGGCGGGAACGGTCAAACTTGTGGACAATCATGCAATGGAAAGGATTTTTTTTTTCTGGAATCAGCGATTTGTTCGACATATACTCTGTATCAAACCCTGACTTAAATTCATAAGTTTTAAGTGATGTACAGTTTGCTATTAAATCTCTAAGGTTATGCACTTCGGATAGAACACAAATAACAAAATTACCCAAACGTGAAATGTGACGTCAAAAAAAAAAGGAGCACCATTCAGTAAATCTTCCTCATCATGAATCATAATTGTTGTTGATAGGGTACATTTTAACACATGTTCTAGCATAAGGGCACATTTGTTGTGTTGTAACGTAGAAAAGGGCCTATCAAATCTTTTTTGCTGATGATAAACATAGTTATTTTTTAAAGGTGACCATAACGATAAGATTTGGCAAAAAACTTGCCAAAATGACCGTGAGTGGGGTAAGCATGATTTTATCTGGACAATTTATTCAAATCATTCTCGTCAAAAATCCTGATCAAAGCACCCTTTCTTCTTCTGGTTTGGCCTGTAGGAGTGTAGCTCCCACCACATGATTATAATAACATGCTGCGCAGCTTTTCCTTTCTTCGTGTATTGAGATTCATATCACCCTTTTTAAAATCACTTTCTCATGCCATTACTGAGCAAATTACGCAAAAACAAGTATTTTCTTTAAGTAGCGTTAATATAGCTGTGACGTTTCTTCTTTCAAGAAAGCAAAATAAAATGTATTCACTATGTCGGCAACAGAAAATGCTCATCTTAAAACCATCAAAATGCATTTCATTGCATCGTTATATATTGTTTAAAAAATATGTATAATAAGGAAAGAAGAGTAGAAAAGAGTAGAAACGAAAAAGTGAAATTTGCAATAAAATCCGATTAAAAATAAAGTCTTGAGTTTCTAGAGAAAATTTGCCATCATACACCTAATCACATGAGTTGATTTCGTTTAAGTTTATGATAGGAGTTGTAATTGAGGCTATCACTACCTTTAATGGGGGATATGGCTCGCATACATTGATTCCTGTTCATAATAAAAGCATCCTGCTTGAAAGGATGCATGCGTTCATTAATCAGATACACATCAGCAGACTATTTGAAATAGAAACCATATTTCGACCACGACTATAAGAACTCTAAACGCTTTTGTTAAAATGGATAATATTGGAAAGACGGGGGTGAGGAAGGTGAAAATGACGTTTTTTACTAATTAAAACGACGTTATACATATGATGGTCCTTTATGGCAGCAATGTATTTATATTTCCATTGTACACTGTAGATTATTTGCATAAAAAGCACCAGTGGTGACTTTAAAGGAATAACAATAAATATATTTCTTACATTCATGCATTGTTTACGACATCGTTGATCAGAGGATTAGTTACGCAATTAAATGATGTGACAGTTAAAAAAATCAAATATTGTCGTTTATACGATAAAAACCACAATCAACTAGCACGACGGTATGACCTATTATCATAATCCATAATCTTAAGTTCGATTTATGTTCTACAAATAGGGTATAGTAACAAGCATAACAACTGAAGATAATTATGCAAAGTGAAGGGGATCAAAGCGTTCAAATATATTAATAAGGATTGTTGTAATGCTATTGCTGAGGAGGAGGACAATATTTAAAATGGTTTACAAATTCAATGAAAAAGGCACCTGCTTTGCATATACGAATTTTTTTTTAGTGAAAATGATTCGTAAATGTTGTGCTAAGTCATCAAAGGGGACATGGGCTGTCAGGTTCTTACATCCATTAGTAAATTAAACAATTGTAATAAAACATTGTCATACTTGTCCTGTTATGTAATGCATAAAAACCATCACATGGAAAGACTAATTGTAACCCGCTCAAGTGAAAAGACTACGTCATTTACTTTAGGAAGTAAATCAAGGGTAGATTGCATATGTTAAATCCATTCTGCAACGATGTCTGACGTTCGCTCAATATGTATTGCGCACTACATACTGCAATAATGTGAGTTAGGGTCATGTTTGACCACTATTTACTTCCCCGGGGGCGGATCTATGGGGGGGGGGGGGGTTAGGGGGTTAACAACCCCCCCCCCCCTACGGCTGCCAAGTGAATTAACCTCAAAACCGCCTCGCCGCTACAGGGCTCATAGACGGTGCTCCACATAGCCATTGGGTCAACCCCTCCCCCCCCCTTAGCAAAAAGCTAGATTCACCCCTGTTCTGATTCGCAATACGTGCAAGTCTCTTCCTCTCTTCACCGTTTTACTTTCCTATCTCTTCCTCTCTCCTCTCTCTCTCTCTCTCTCTCTGTATTGTGCCAACGATGCTGTTTCGTGTGGTAATCATGATGCCGATGAGTCATATTATTTTATTTCTCTATTCTTGTACTAAGGGTTATCTCATTTCACGACTCAAAGTAAATTACATGGAGTGTCACCTCTGGTTCATAATTATAATTTAAACAGAAATGATAAGATTCAATCATATATCTCTTTAAAATGTATGACTCTAAACTACATTCACTTTTAAATCATTTGGTAGGTAATGCATGCTGCGTGGATTGTATGGTATTCCTTTAAAAGCCAGTTTTCATTCTCTAATGTATATCACTTGTTTTCTCCCCTCTCTATCTTCACTTTGTCTACTGAGTTTTGTCTTTGTCTCTTCTTCTTTGTCTCTCCATTGTTGCTGCTCTACGTTATAATCAGTCTTATCTTATTATTTACTCTGTTAACTCTTTAACATCTTCACAATTTATTTCACCTATTATTATGACATTCCTCTTCCCTATCTCTTGCTTTATTTCTCTTTTTGTTCTCTCCCCTATCTATTTTATTACTGGCCTTCCCAGTCTCTGGCCTTTAACTATTGAAGGAGACCGTCAATATACATACAAAACAGACAGGGATGAAACAAAAATCCCACCTCGTTTAACATCGTTTGTAACCATGCAAAACTACGAATAAATTCCATTCCACCTGAGTCTAATCTTTGGAACCAAACACATATTCAAAAGCAGCTTGCAGAACAAAGGACAGATCCCTTTACGTAACATGATTTCAAAAAGTTTTACGAAATTCACTATATCAAAAACTTTAATAGCATCTTAAACAGGATCATAAATATTACTCTTATCATGAACAAAATATGAAACAGTCTATTTTGCCATAATCATATACATAGGTGTAGATTTCTAGAACATAACTATAGATCACTTCTACATAGATATTTTCATTATTAATGACTCAATAATTTTCCAATGGTTCTACCCAAACTTCACTGGCAGTATTTTAACATGAATTTTGGAATAAGTATGACTAACACACACTTTCATATATTCACAATTAATAGCACAAGAAGGTATATCATCCAAATTATTCGCATCATTTTAAACATGCGTTTGTAATACTTTCATGGAATACATTGATTAATTGATTATGACTCCCATACTTTATGAGCATCCAGCTAACAATTCTCTCAATTCTTAACTCATCTGGAAATGTCTTTCTTTTTAGCAAATTTCCAGCAACAAAAGTCCTTCTTTTCTTTTGATCTCTACTCATATATCATTTTCTGACAATTCAGATACCTGGAAACCCAACACAAAATCACTGCTATGTGATCTGAAAAGTTATGAGCTGTATCAACCCACTCAAATGTTGAGGGGAATCTGCTAGATTGATCAATGAATTGTATCTGACCCTTTACTACAGAAAGTAAAAATCTAAATGACAAAACTGATATTGTGTGGAAACATTAAAATTATCAATAAAAAGAACCGTTTGGTTTGGTAAGTATCTCTAGAAGTGTCTCATTCAAATCACCTCAAATACAAGCATAATAAGCATTAGCCCCATGCATAAAAAACGTCAATATTGTTGAGAATTACGATTACAAATTACTATCCTGAAATCTATCATGAAATGGCATGTAGCCATTGCATACAAAACATCCCTTCTTGTCCTCAAAAGTTACAATAACGGCACCATCATTATTACGGTTAATATAAGAGTAATGATAATAATAAAAGAACAATTAGGACGAAAATAATGAAAATGATAATAATAATAGTCATCATATTAATATTAACAATAAAAATTAAAACAGAACATAACCAAATCTGAGCATGTACGCCCTTGTCACCTGGGAAACACATATTCGCCCTCATTTATTAGCTTATTCAAATGCACGTCACCACACAATAAAAAGGTTCCATAATTATCATTTCAAACTTGAATTGACTTTACGTCACGCTTTTGTTACCAAAATATGGCACAAATAGATTTGACATTCCATTTTCAAACATTGTTGCTAAGTGAAGCGTCAAGTTTTATAGATACGATCCAGCGACAAAATCAATGTAATCAGCTATTTATATGCTGGAATATTTCCTTCTAGTTGTCCGCCTGCTTCAGTGAAATGTCTTGCTGTTGCAAGATATATAAGTAGAATAATAAAAAATATTAGTATTGGAATTATAAACGGGATTACTGCATGAAACAACTTAGCACAATAACAGAATCCTATTGGATTTCGCTTGCTTATCCTCTTCGTTTGTTTTCCCTTATGGTGTTTATCTCAATCTATGTCTTCTGTGTTGTTCCGTATGGTTTTACGCAGAGCTGGAATAAATAGTACACGTCACATTGAGGGGATGATTAGTAAAGTTTGTCATTTAAAGTCATATAACAGGAGTAAAGTTGAATAAACTTTAGTAGGAATAGTTGTAATTCCATTATTATCATTATTTATTCCATCACTATTATTATCCCCTAATGAACGAAACTGTTCAATTATAAACCGATATTCTGTAAAAAGGAGCAAATTTTCACAACGGTTAGATTCAGCATCCTTCAAGGCACTTAAGTAAACAAAGATTGAATACATACCAGTTTTGATGGCATAAACGATGACGACGAAAAAGAGAACTCCTATTATGGGGATTATCCATACCATCCACAGTACTAAGTCGGTGTCTGTATTGATGCAAGTAAATATAAGGCAATTCACATATTTGAAACAAAAAGTCGTAGGTAATTATACAACGTCTCATTAAGTGATCGTACATGAATATTTTATATTTTAAGCCGTTATAAGATAAGCAGTGTGTATATAATAACTAATAATAATAATAATACAATATTTATAAAGCGCATACTAAACAAAAGTTTATCTATGCCCTGTACAAGCATCAATGACGACAAACATAATAACAACTTGTATATATGAGAAATAAGTCATATATAATAAAGTATTTATGCATGTTTGTATATATGGTAACATATTGTTCTGCGACTTTAAATATTTTAAAAGAGAATAGGCACACGAAAGTGATATTCCGTAAAAAAAACTCCATTACGGAGTTTTACATGTTAACATAATTTGTATAGTTTGGTATTTTGTGTTGAGTCTCACTGTCTCTCTCTCTCTCTCTCTCTCACTCCCTGTATACATGCTTATGCATATACACACATCTAAATGTATTGTGTATTAATATGTATTTATGTATTTTGTATATGCTTACGTGTCGTGTTCTGGTTGATGCTGTCACTGTCAATAATACGCAGGGAAGACATAATCGTGAAGTTCAAATTGGAATACAGACACGCTATGGTTATATCCGTCTCGTTAGCTGCAAACCAATTGGTCACCGTAGTGTTGTATGTTCCATCACTGTTGATAAATGCTGTTCTATTCCCTTCTTTGGTTGTAAGTATTGGGAAGGTCATCGGAAAAACATTACTTATGGAGCAGGTCACGTTGAAACCATTGGTCTGCCGATTGTACTCAATCACAGGAGAGGTGTCCGGATTGGCTGAAAAAAAGGATCATGTACAAGTACGCCTGTATAATATGTACATGTGCATATGCACAAAAATACAAGAAATATGTATATAAATTATAATTGTCAATACATACATGTGTACACACACATGTTTACATAGAGATCGAACAAGGAGAAGATCCACACACAAAAAACCCACCGAGCTTAAATGCAGGTTTCAATAGGGAATTTTTTCAAGGGAAACAATTTGATAGGCGGAAGTACTTTTTTCTACATGCGGTTACTGACCTAGGCTTTGGTGTAGTTATATTTATATCTTAATCATATGAATATTATATTGGGAATACGCTTACTATTAAAATAAGTACCCTAGCATCGCTATTATCTGGACCTACAGCTATGAATATTAATACATCGCTGTGGAACTTTTCTTTAGCCATTTCATTTGCTTCTATAGGGGAGTAATTCATCTGGAAATGTAAAATGTAGCAGTATACATCTTTCTCTAGACCTTAGCAGAGAATACCCTGAGAACGTTGCAATGTGTTTCGTCCCAAAAGCGTTTCTGTTCTTTGGGGTAAATAAATGCATTGAGACATGTGAAACAAAAATGGGGAAAAGTAATCCATTGTTACATGACTCTTTCATTAGGTACAGTAGTTAAGACTATTATTACTATATTTTAATTAATATGACATCCACAGGTGCATTTATGTGGAAAAACTGCAACATTCCGTTTAAATATTTGTTGGGAGAGTAATTAGACAAATAATTGATCGTTGTTTATTGAAGGAATATATTTGAAGTAAAGTCGTCTGCTATTTTTGGAGTGTCATTAATTAAACATGTTTTGGGCGTTAGGCAGCGAACCTAACAACGAGCTCCAATTGAAACGAAATTACACAAAAACACAACAACTTACCAAATATGATCAATTTAACATCATGCGTACACCGAATTCTAGAGTCGACTGGAGTAACGATACACCTATACAAGCCTCCGTTGGTTACATTTACACTGTACATAACCATGGAGAAGTCATCTTTGATTCCAAACCCCTGTGAACTGCCTGTGTCTCCTTCGTACCACCATGCAAGGGCTTCTCCATCTTTCACAAAGACATCTGAGTTACTGCTTTCGTACCATTGAACTGAAATGGTTGATTCTTGAGAGACAGGGCATCCGCATGGTAATTTACCAGTGGTGTGGAGCTGTACCGGAACAGTTATCATCTGTCCACTTGTTTCTGAGATAAGATATAAATGGTGCAAGGCTTGGGAATCACTAGAGAACAAAACCCTGCTTTGATCAAAAAGACTGCTCGTGCACAAAAGTAGTTTAACTATGCTTAATAGCGTAGCAGCACATGCAGTCCGGCTACAGACATGAATTGACATGCTCACATTAAACAAAAGGCCAAAGAACACATTCACACATGTTATTAAAGTTAGTAAGTGTAGAAAGCTAACAACGAATTTCAGAGTACCTGTTTTTACACTGGAAAACAACGCGAGCAGTCCTAGTTCAAATGCCAATGTCGCCATTGTGTTTAATATTGTGGCGGGAAATGAGTTTCGGGGGTCTGTGTGAGATGATGATTTGTAGGTGCTGATTGTTGACAAGAGGGGGCGGTATTGTGTTTTGGTAGAATCACAGGGGTTTACGGTAGCAAAGTGGGCACAGGTCAACCGGCGTCACGCGCGATACCGGGAAGAAAGCGCGAATTCCGCGTTTAACAACTGAATTCACTTCACACGCTCAACAGGTTCCTCTGTTGTTACACTTTTTTGATTGCTAACCCTTATGCTACGTTTACACTATGTTCCCGGCGGCCACGGCAACCACGTTTCAGGCCACCGTGGACGAAACGGGAATAACGTGACACAACGCGGGGACCGTATGGGCGAACGTGACAGGCCGTGATTGCCGTGGATACCGTGTCAGATTTTTAAACTGTCAACAAATTTGCCACGGCAGTCACGGTGCAGATGAGAAACCTAGTAGGCTGTGATAAACCGGGTGAACGTAACAAAACGTGACAGTCCGTAATAGGCCGTAACAAAACTTGGGGGTGGTCCGTGGTGGGACGGTTTAAGCGCCTGGCACGCTACGGCGCGTTTCGTTCTACTACGGTCTGACACAACGCGAGGTCTCAAAATACCATGATTACTATTGCTTGGGAAACCTTCTTTTTATACCGCCGGCACAAACGTGCTCCAAAGCTGCCCTGCGTCCACGTTTCATCCGTACAAAGCCTTGACAGAACGTGAAAAACGTGTCAGACCTTGATCAGAACGTGGGAAACGTGAGGGACCCCATCAGAACGTGACGGGCCGGGAGGGAACGTTCTGATGGGGCCTTGGAGCCTCCGGGACTCAGCATCACCTTCCCCCCCCCCCCCCCCCCCCCACGGCCCGTCACGGATACCGTGGTAGACCGTGAGAAAACTTGGCAAGACGTAACAAAACTTGAATCCAGAGGCTGGGAGCCCCCCCCCCCCCCCCCCCCCTATGATCTCGGCCGTCAAAAGTCCGATGAACGCGAAAATTTGCATGTTTGTAGATATTTGCGTAAAGGACAGGATGGTATAATTAGTTTTTACCTAAATTTGTGTCGTTATAGCCTTATTAATTATGCAAAATGCTAATTTTATGCAGTTTACAGAAAACTTTACATATTTGTCTGTAGACTTGTGAAGAATGTTGAAAATGCATTGAATAAATGTTTCCTTCATCTCATATTCATGAGGTTACATTACAGCCCCCCCCCCCCCCCAGTACAGTAAGTGTTAACGTCTCCCAGTATCGTATATAGGACCAGGAACTTGAACGGATCCAGAGGACCGCCACACGTCTTGCACTGAAGCAATCTCGTGGAGTGATGCCATACAACGAGATACTCCGCTCTCTCAATTCGTTTACACTAGCTTCTGGTAGAGACTACCTTTTCTGTTCTTTTGCCAAGAAATGTCTATACGGTCTATGTAATTGTTAAGCTCTGCTTGATAACATGCTCATCAATCCTCGCCGTCCCCACACTCTGTCCTTTCGCCATCTTCCTTCTCGTACAAATACTCTGTTCTTCTCTCCTTCAAGGCGACTTCCAAGACTTCAGTGTCAAAGATGAGGCAGAGGTATCCTCTCCGTCTTCTTTTCATCGGGTTTCAAAAGCAGCAATATTAGATAGTGCATAGTTGTAGTGTTATCTCATCAGGTTATACATGTATATATATATTACTTCACTTTGTACCCTCTGACTAGTTTCCGTTTATTTGTTTTTCTTATTATATATCATGCCATGATGCTGGATTATTTGTAATGTACTTAATTACTCTTACTTTTGTTATTTCATAATTATCGAATTACTGATATATTGACATGCTTTCTTCATGCCTGTATATTAAACACTGAGCTAGGTATTATATTTGATTATCTTCATACTTGTATCTTACATCATTCATATACTTATATGTTAATACTGTTTAGGGCCTTGTATACTCTAAGCTTTATATCCCTCGTCTTAACTAATGAACTATGTCTGATTGCAATGATTTTTCTCAACCCTGTTTAAGACTAGCCTTTCCTAATCTTTATCTTGAATTTTTCATTACTTTAATATAATGCCGCTTGTATCATGATTACTATAATTTCCTTGGTACATCTAAGTGATATCCATCTTTGTAGGAATATGCGTTATGTAATAAACTTGTCATTTTTGTTTTAGTTTTTGAAAGGAGGAGGGGGGGGGGGTTAAGATGTATTTTTTTTTTAACAATGTGCAATACTGTGTGTACCGGTATAGTCAATGTCATGTTTATATATAAGTTGATTTGGGAGCAACATGTGAGGGATCACATGTCTCCGGGTAATAGTGTTAAATTTCACTTTTGTGACCCCTGGCCCACACGTTGCTCCCTCCATTTTCCTCTTGTATTGTTTATGTATTGCACGATCTGTCAAAATGTATTAGTATTGTGATTTTATGATTGGCCTAATAAATAATAATAATAATACTAATACAGATTGTCGTCGACCAATTACATGGAAATTGCTCGCCAAAAAATGTCCCAAACCTGTGCCATGTTTGCTCTTCTCAATACCTGGGTAAATAATCCAGGAGATTATTTTTGTAACAAAGTCGTAAAAATCCACAGGAACATTGAAACAAGATTAGATGCAATGAATGAACCCAGGACATAATCTCCATTATATATAGCAAAAAGTGCACTTCGGCATCATGAATTCCCCAAGCTTTAGTCAATCACAGCATTGATTGTGTATAATTTAACACAGGTGTTATGTTGAAGGAGCTACAGATCAAGACGAATGCTTGAATGATTGTCAAATGAATAGTATGGCAAACAAATCGAAGTCACACGGTTTGAAGAACTGGTGGAAGAGTACGATGGTCAGCTGGCCTTCTGGACATCCAAACGGGATGCTTTCGAAAGAGAGGACACGGGGAGAAATCCCTGTTTGTCGACATGGTTTATGAAGTATAATTACGTCTGCTGAAGAAGACACTAGGACCACTAGGTGTTGGGGATCATTCTTTTCCAAATCCTATGAGTTTTCTGCAGTATTGTCTGTTTTCTATTCAGTACATTTTGATGAAGGTTGAAGATTGATTAACCTCGAAATATCAGGCCATTTAGGTTAAAGTGTCCGATGATGATGCAAATTCATAGTAAACATGGTCATAGTTTTACTTATATGTGGTCAGTTGAAGATTAATCTCTACGGGTAAACAATCCTTCATGCATCTTTGTAAGGTGCAGACAGGGAGCCATTCTGTTCTTCTTGTCTTTCTGTTACTACACCCTACTTTTCTGGCTATGACTTATACCAAGTACTTTTTTGACATATTGTTTACATGGATATTTATCGTCAAATACATTCAACCTTCACAACCTTCACCAACGAGATTTGAATAGACCTCCTCACTCTCTGAATATGGTGTGGCAGGTGCCTGAAATAGGGTGGGGAAGGGGAGGAAAAGTGCAAAAGGTCAATACACTACAAGTATTTTCAATTACAAAACGATGCATTTTTCAGAAGCAATCATCTCTGGGTAATTATCCTGGAAGAATGTTAAAATGATGATGGTGATGATGATGATCAGGGTTCTTACAAATAACGAATATTTCAATAATAAAGATATTATTCCCTGTCCTCTAGCAGTCTTTATTTTATTCATTGCTTTCGTCCTTACATCAATGAATCTTGAGGGTCTATGTATCATTTCAATCTTTCTTTAATCTACTCGTCACATCCCTCGCATTTTCCTCCTTTCACCTCTTCTATCATCCTTTATAGATGTATATATTTATCTTTGATTCTTCTACCATCCACTTCTTGAATTCCTTCTGCAATAACTTTTTAATCATATTTCTGCCCTCCGTCGTAGTTTCTTTTCTTTTTTCTCTTTTTGTTCATTCCCTCTTAATTTGTTTAATAACTTTATTCCATCAGGTCATCAGGCGATATGATCCGCGTTCTCAATGACATATTGAGCTATTGTGGAATAATTGCACAATGCATATCGTACTGCTTTTACAAAATATCCAGCTTGTGATAGGTATTGTATCAATAGCATTGAGCCGTAATTATATGTGTACACAAGGGTGTTAAATGTGGCCAATTTGATGTAAATCTTATATTTTTGTTTAGATATTGGTACACGTTTTAAATGTCGTACCCTTCAAAATACTGACATAAATACTGTTTGATAATATACATATCAATAACAATCTTTTGTTATTTATTGTTATTGATTCTTTGATTATTCACAATCATCAAAGTACAATTATAAGTATGTTTTTATAAAAGGCCAAGCTTTATGATGACGTTTAGCCACATACGTATCTATTCTTTCTGCAGCAACCAGGCAAGTAGCCAATTTGAAGTTCATGTACAGGAATAAGGATGTTTTTATTGGAAAAAACAAATTCCTTGGTTTGCTAATGTAATAATATATATTTTGTTAGTCTTAAATTATGATAATGCTTATTGTTGCTATTCAAGTGGAAAGTATATAATTGTGAAATGGCCTACACATGTATTGATAAATGGTACTAGTCTTGAAAACAGAAATAATTAAGTATTATATTAAGTCTCAATAATCTCTGATTGACTTAGCCCTCGGCAGGGCCTAGGGAGCATGAGGAATATTTGCGTGTGTCTAAAGATGTGGCAGTATATTTTGTCAGAGAGAGAAATTGACCATATACAACATCTCGTTTCAACATTCAACCATGTAACGTCGTAACCTGTTCATTATTAAAGACTACCTACTATAGTATACGCAGTAATGATTTTTTTTTCCATGTTGCCGGAAGTTAGTCTAATTTTCTCAGACATCAAATTGGATCGTGGGGTGAACAGAATAAAATAATGTGAAATTGTAGGCGCATCTCACTATTATCACCTGTTTTATTTCGTATATTTTTTATTTGATTTTATTTCTGCATATTTTCCAAATAAAATATAACTGAATAACAAAGAACATAATATACATGTAAGGTATAATACAACATAAACAAACA